TTCTAAAAATTAAACAGTTTCGAATTGTTTTATTTGTAAGCTATAATTATTAAAGTTAGAAACTTCCAATTTATTAAATGAAATAATTTAAAATTAAAGACATTTGCTTTCATAATTTTAAAAGATTAATTCAATACCTTTAAAAATTATTTCTGTGCAAGTCATAACATCCATTTCATCCAGAAAAAGTGCTGCATGAATTTTTTAAAAATAATTCAAACTAGAAATTGAAATTAATGGAATTAAATAGATGGAAGACATAATCTGAATAAATGCTAATATATGACCATTGTTTTATCATAAGAATTATTACATTCTATATTGAATTTAAGTAATTTCAAAATTATCTAAAATTTTATGATAAATTTTACTTTATGATAAATTACGTAATTTTAATCAATTTCTATTATAAATCAAACAAAGGAAATTAATAATTAAATATAAAATTAACAATGTGAGAATTAGAATGTTAATTTTATTTGAACAATTAAAAATTTCGCAATAAAATATTTCGTCTAAATAAAAACAATGAAAATTACAAGTTTAATTGATTTATTTACTTTTGTTTATTAAATGAAAGAAAACAAATAAGATAATTAGCTATACATATTTACTTTTGTTTATTTAATGAAAGGAAACAAATAAGACAATTGGCTAATTCACTAATTTTATAGATCCTTCTTAACGGATGAGAACAAAAATAAATCAATGACTAAATATTTGTTTAGTAAACAATAAATATTTGTTTAATAAATATGCGACAAATATTTGTGTGACAAATAAATAACAGATATTTGTTTAACAGATAAATGTAAATATTTGCTTGACAAATAAGAAAAAAGTAAATTTAAAAAGATGGTTCAGATTAAAAGAATAAAGTAAAACTATTTGCTCATGTTAATTATTACTATTGTCTTATGCTAATTATTATTATTATAAGTCAATGACAGCTGCATTGAGTAATTCAGTTTATTTTTGAATTGATGAATTTATCATGAATTCTTTTTCTGGTAATCATTTTTCTGATAATTTTTCTGACATTTTTCTGATGATGATAATAATCGTTGATAATCATTAATCACTTTTCTGTTATCATTTAATTCGTCTACTCGATCATTTCGGTATTAATTTAACAACTTTATTTCCGGAAGAAATTTTTTCAGTTCCATAAACCATAACATTTTAGTGTTCCGAAGAAATGAAAATCATGGCTGATTAAATATGATATAAAATCTTTCCAACAAATTTCTACCAATGAAAATTAAAAATTTATTATATTGCCAGCGAAAGTTGAAGTTGTAAGTTTAACAGATTTAAATTTAGAAAGTTAAAAATTTATTATATTGCCAGCGAAAGTTGAAGTTGTAAATTTAACAGATTTAAATCTAACTAAATCACAAATTGCAGTGTGTAATGAATGAAGTCTAATGTATAATGAATTAAGTCTAATAAATTATCATTTGTTTTCACATAGCAATTAATATCACAAATCATTTAATTGATTTTTATATTTAAATAATTTTCCTTCAATTACCATGTAATCTTTCTATACACACAAATATATATTTATCAACATTAAGCTACTGTATTTGGTGATTTAAATTAAGTCTTGAAATCCTTCAATTGATATATCGATATATCGATATAGTAAAATCCCTCTATCGATATATCGATATAGTAAAATCCCTCTATCGATATATCGATATAGTACACTATGAATCATTGTGGTTAATAATTTTCCTCCAATTGTCGTATAATCTTTCTATACACACATACATAAATTTATCGACATTAAGTTACTGTATTTAATCAGTTAAATTAAGTCTTGAAATCCTTCTGTCAATATGTCGATATAGTACACTATGAATCATTGTGATTAGATGATTCAAATTATGTTTTATATATTGGAGACAAAATTTTATTTATTCATCAAATACTTTCTTAAAAGTAAAATTTCATTCCATTCAACAATATAACAAATTACGTGAATTTTAATAATTAATAATTCTAAGAAATAAATATATTCTAAGTATATTCTAAAATTCTAAGAAATAAATATATTTCATTAAAGAAATCATTCGATTTTGAAATCAGTTTATTTGATTTGTTGACAATCGATTCAATCAATCAATTCTTTCTTTCTTAAGTGATTAGCTTAACATTCTATTCTTTTCTTATACATTCGATACATTTGAAAACTTTACGAAGAGAAAATGAAAACAAATAAGTTGGAATGATCGAATGCTGCCAGCTAATGTCCAGTTGTTATGATAAGAACTAAACCATTTGAAATAATCAAGCATTTGTTTAGAAGAGTAACTGATAAGTAGCAAATGTAAATTTGATAATTGCACTTGAAACAAATGATAGAGAAGTGAGTTCAATATGTGTTTTTAAAATATAACTCATTTTATTTCACAATCTGAACTTAGGATAAGTTCAAAGGAAAAATTTTTTTTAACTTAAAAAGATTGGAGGAGAATGAAATGAAGGAAAAAGTGTTGTCAGCACGGATAGATCAATGTAGCGATTGTGGATAATGCTAGCGTTGTTGGCGTTTGCTGCACGAAATGTTGTAAAGTGTTTGTGTTCATAGAATGTTGGAGAGATAGTGGTGAAGTGAAAAGATAAAATCAGGCAAATGTTGTGATATCAATGAGTGAAAGCGACGAAGAAGAGGTCTTTTTTCTTTTGTTTTATCATTTCATTAATTCAACTTATTTTTTCTTTTAGTTTCATCTAATTAGTTTTAAATTTAATAAGCAAACAAATTAATCTGGAAAAAGTTTGATGATTTCAGATTTGTAGTTAAAAAAGTTAGGATATTCTTAAAAAGTTAAGTATTAGAAATTCATATACCTTATCTTTACAGAGTTCATATTATCTAAAATATATATATATATATATATATAGAAATAAATAAAATTATTTTAGTATATAATAAAATAAATTTGATCCAGTTCATATTCATTACCTCTATTCGTTATATTGCAACCTTATTCGAAATTCAGCTTGGTATTATATTATTATCTTTATATTAACTAAGACAGAATTCAAATCATATTTTATTAAATAGCAATTATGTCCAGATTTTGAATACATCTTCAATAATTATCTTTGATACGAATATTTGAATGATATTATTGAAATAATAAAATAAAATTTTTAAGATAGAATTATCGGATGTGGAATTTGAAGATGAGGATGAGGAATTGGAATGTGAACTTGTTTGTGAACCTGAAAAGAAGTTGAAACCACAACTTCCAGATATTAAACCTACTGATAAATCTCCTGATACTTCTTCTTCCAATCATCCAGAGAGAAATCGATCGACTTCGAATAATGCTCCCAATGATAACGATGCCAAAACGTCTGATGCTGAGGTTCCATATTAATTTTTTTCATTTTTTAAATCGATTTTTTATTTTTTATTTTTGAAATTAAATTTCCATATAGTTCTGATGAGTTTAATATGGTGCAAATTATCCAATTAATTACCTAAGACCGGAAGTTACGGTACATATAGTAGAGGTCAGTTGAAATTTGTTTCTATTTTTAGAATGCTAGTTTAATTTTATAATTCTTCAAGTAACTTCATTTTATAATTCGATAAGTAATTTTTCATTCATTTCAAAGTTAACTTAAATTTAGTTTAAATTTACAACGATCTATTTGTTTCATATATATTGGAAATAAATGATCATTGAAATTTATATAAATTTTGGATTTTAGTAGTATAATGAAGCGAATAATTTATATGTTGATATAAGTTGCTAAATATTTTTCTTCACAAAGTGTAGTAAAATCGTAAATTGTTGTAAATGATGAATGCTGTCACTAAGTTCGCAATATCTAAAAGTATAAACATCCGAAATCAAAAAGCATAAACATAAACATATTCAATCTAAACATAAGTAACATTTATTTCATTCTCACTATAATTTATTTCGAAATAGATTGTAAAGTGAATTCGAGAAAGCTTTTCTAAAGTTAAAAATAAAATCGCTTTCATTGATAGTTCTGCACTTCCGTTTTTTAAATCATTTTTTATCATTTTTTCAATCATTTCTTGTCATTGAATAAGTAGCCTAAATTTTTGGCTATTCCTCCATTGAAATAAGTAACCTAAAATTTTGGTTATTCCTCCATTGTAATAAGTAGCCTAAAATTTTGGTTATCCCTCCATTGTAATAAGTAGCCTAAATTTCTGGTTATTCCTCCATTGTAATAAGTAGCCTAAAATTTTGGTTATCCCTCCATTGTAATAAGTAGCCTAAATTTCTGGTTATTCCTCCATTGTAATAAGTAGCCTAAAATTTTGATTATTCCTTCATTGACCAATAGACCATGATGGTCTGTTTTCGAAATCATTTTGAAATTTTAATTGAAAACTAATAGCATTCTCATCATACTTCCTGCAAATGGAAAATTTGAATCAAAACATTTTTTATAAAAATTCTTATAAATTTATGAAAATTTTAATAGTAGGTGGAAAATGAAAAAACTTTACTTGTGATTAATTTTTAAAGCATTTTGCTTGTTCAGGAAGAGGTACCGGATATTGATTTTGAAGATGAATTAGAGCCCGAAGAAGTTTTGGCACCTGAGAAGTCTCCGAAACCAAAACACGATATTAGATTAAAGGAGCCAGAAAATTCAAAAAACAAACGCCCGGGAGAACTTGAGGAACCGCAAAAGATTTCAGCACCAGTTACTAAAAAACCAAAATCAGAAAGGTCACCTGAAATTAATCCAAAAACTCCCAGTGATAAAAAACCAATTAAGCCAGGAACTCAAGAACCGAAAAAATCTGATGGGAAGGTGGAACCAAAACAGGTTTCAGCTCCAACATCAAAAAAACCTAACCTCAAGTCGAAAGATTCAGAAGATGCAAAACCGAAGAAACCCTTGAAAGTGAAGCCTACAGATGGTAGCTCAGAACCCGACGTGGATGTAACTCTTCCAATATCAAAACCGAAAAACAAACCGAAGGCAGAGGCCAAGAAACCAGATGATAAACCTGATGATGAGGAGCTTGAACCAGAATTGGTTTCAGCTCCTACATCAAAGAAACCCAAACTCAAATTAAAGGATCCAGAAGATGTGAAACCAAAGAAACCCTTGAAAGTGAAACCTACAGAGGGTAGTCCAGAACCTGAAGTAAATGTAACGCTCCCGACATCAAAACCGAAAAACAAACCGAAGGCAGAGGCCAAGAAACCAGATGATAAACCTGATGATGAGGAGCTTGAACCAGAATTGGTTTCAGCTCCTACATCAAAGAAACCCAAACTCAAATTAAAGGATCCAGAAGATGTGAAACCAAAGAAACCCTTGAAAGTGAAACCTACAGAGGGTAGTCCAGAACCTGAAGTAAATGTAACGCTCCCGACATCAAAACCGAAAAACAAACCGAAGGCAGAGGCCAAGAAACCAGATGATAAACCTGATGATGAGGAGCTTGAACCAGAATTGGTTTCAGCTCCTACATCAAAGAAACCCAAACTCAAATTAAAGGATCCAGAAGATGTGAAACCAAAGAAACCCCTGAAAGTGAAACCTACAGAGGATAGTCCAGAACCTGAAGTAAATGTAACGCTTCCAACATCAAAACCGAAAAGCAAACCAAAGGCAGAGCCCAAGAAACCAGATAATAAACCTGATGATGAGGAACTTGAACCAGAATTGATTTCAGCTCCTACACCAAAAAAACCTAACCTCAAGTTGAAAGATCCAGAAGGTGCGAAACCAAAGAAACCCCTGAAAGTGAAACCTACAGAGGATAGTCCAGAACCTGAAGTAAATGTAACGCTTCCAACATCAAAACCGAAAAGCAAACCAAAGGCAGAGCCCAAGAAACCAGATAACAAACCTGATGATGAGGAACTTGAACCAGAATTGATTTCAGCTCCTACACCAAAAAAACCTAACCTCAAGTTGAAAGATCCAGAAGGTGTGAAACCAAAGAAACCCCTGAAAGTGAAACCTACAGAGGTTAGTCCAAAACCTGAAGTAAATGTAACGCTTCCAACATCAAAACCGAAAAGCAAACCAAAGGCAGAGCCCAAGAAACCAGATAACAAACCTGATGATGAGGAGCTTGAACCTGAATTGGTTTCAGCTCCTACATCAAAAAAGCCCAAACCCAAATTAAAGGAACCAGAAGATGTAAAACCGAAGAAACCCTTGAAAGTGAAACCTATGGAGAGTAGTCCAGAACCTGAAGTAAATGTAACGCTTCCAACATCAAAACCGAAAAGCAAACCAAAGGCAGAGCCCAAGAAACCAGATAACAAACCTGATGATGAGGAACTTGAACCAGAATTGATTTCAGCTCCTACACCAAAAAAACCTAACCTCAAGTTGAAAGACCCAGAGGGCGCAAAACCGAAGAAACCCTTAAAAGTGAAACCTACGGAGGGTAGCCCAGAACCTGAAGTAAATGTGACGCTTCCGACATCAAAACCGAAAAAGAAACCGAAGGCAGAGTCAAAGAAACCAGATGACAAACCTGATGATGAGGAGCTTGAGCCCGAATCAGACTCTGTTCCCAAACCTAAAAAACCTAATGTTAGGTCTGGAAAACCGAAAGTGCCAATGATTAAATCTAAAGATCCTCTCAAAGTCAAGTTAGACAGTCCTGAACCAGAAACTGATGCTACATTACCTTTACCGAAGAAAGAACAGCAAGATGAAGAAGAGGATGAACCAGAGGTACCGGATGAAGACTCCAAAGCGAGTTTAGCTGCTCCAGAAATACCTGCAGAAGACCAGGTAATTTTTATTTCCAGTTAATTTTAAAATTAAAATTTAAATTATTGATTATTAAACGAAATTTTTTATCATACCGCTAAATTTCGTTTTCTCACTGTTTCATCTATTAACACTAACATTGAACTGTATTGTTTAAGAATTTGCAGCATTTGCTAAATAATCAAATAATTTTTCCAGCTTGAAGATAATGAAAATGTACCGCCGAAGAAGAGGAAGCCGAAGCCGAAACCGAAACAGAAAAAGGTTAATTCTGGAATTCGTACTATTTATTCGTTAACCATTCCTTCTTTCACTTACTTTATCTTCTAAGTTTTTCTTTAAAATCACTGCAAACATTTCAATTAAACTTAAAACTGATATATCTTACTGGTTTATTCAACCATTCTATGCATAAACAAATTTATACTATGGCGGTGATACCGAAATTCCTATCTACCCATACCAAAACTTCATCATTGACCAATTCCGAATCTATCATTTCTTTCTCTTTGCGTTTGCTGATTTCATAGAACGATTGAATTTTCCAGAAGAAACCGAAGGCAAAATGGATTCCACCGATTAGACCACCACCGGAACCATATGAAATGCCACCGCAAGAGAAAAAATTGGCCGAAATACTAAAGGAAGAAAAAATTCCACCAACGAAACGATATGCTAGAAAGCCACGACATTTGTTAGTATATAACAATAACGAACAGTTATTTAATTTAACTATTCCTTTTATTTTAATTATTAATTGATATGCAAATTTCATGCAAATATTTCGTCTATAATTCCACTTAGTTTATAATCATAGTTTTCAAATTTAAGGGAAGTTTTTATTCCATTCGAAATACCTTGGGAAAATTTACCTGCATTGCAAACACAAGAAGGTATGGGTGCATTTGGACATACACGAGATGCGAACATCAAAGTTGACGAAGGTTCTAAGCACATGGTACAGGTATGCTTCTCAAAGAACAGTTTATTGGAACTGCTTGAAATTATAATTAAGAAATGATAATTAAGAAAGAAAATATTTCGCAATCTATGTAACTTTAAAAATCTTTTCATGTTGTTGCATTTAAATCGACTAAAAAACCGTAATGGTCATTCCGGTTTTCCGTAAAATTTTTTGATACAAAATAAAATAAGATTCCTCTTTTCTAATTTCTTGTCTTCCAATCGACATATATTCTTCTTTCTTCATTTACAACTTGAAGAATCATTAAATATATCGTCGGATAATCATTCTGATAGTTGTCCGACGATATATTACAATTTCTATCGGTATGTTCCTTCGGTAAGATCCGAAAGGTAACATCCGAATCTAGCAAAATTCAATTTTGTCATATTTCCAATGACAGTATCTGTATAATATCTTTCAATTTCCTAGCAAAAATCTTACGTAGTGTATAGGGATTAGATTTTGAGTAAATAATTAAAAATTAATTTATTCATTTAACTTCATGTTAATTAGTGCTTTTTTAAAAAAAATTATCTTAATGTCTTCAATTCTATGCTTGATTATTTTTCGATTGTTTCAGGGTGATCTTCATTCCGAAACTGTTATTCCTCTCTTTTCGCAATCGGTTGGTGATAATCGATCCGGCATGCTACCATTTGGATCCTACCGAAGGAATATATCGGATGTTATTGACAATCATAAATTTGATGATTCTAAGGTATGATAAAATCACTTTAAAAAGTTTAATAAAATTTGAAATATATTTATTATTTAAGCTCAAAGAATGTGATCGTTTTATTCCAAAATTGATGCAAGGTGCAATACAGCCGCAGAATGCAGAAACTTTGTTTGGTCAAATTCGCAATCAGGTAGTTCTTTTTTTCTACATTTTTCCACAAAGTTATTATTATTACTGCAAAAGTAACTTCCATCGTATTCTCTAATGTAATAAATAAGTACATGTGGGATTTTCAAATTGTTTTGCAATGTTGAATATTTTGATGATACTAAATAAAGTTGATAGATAGTAAATAATTTTCTGGAAAGTACATCTGAATAGAGTACACAAATATTAAATGTTTAGACAACAAATGTGAAATATATGGAACATATGACGCCAAAATGTGATCCAGGATCCCATGGTTTCATTAGTCGACAATTTGCGCCATCATCTGAAAAAGCTGGTAGTACTATTATGGATAGACGACGAAATGTTATTGCAAATGCACAGGTTTCTAGAATTCATACATAAGCGATGTATTTTCAAATTTTTAAACTAAGCGATATTTTGATTCTTCATATTATATATGAATGAAATGGTACGCAATTTACTACCAATATTTGTGGTGATGATTAATTTAGAAAGAATTATTGTAATCGTTGATTTATATATTGTTTTAGCAATATAATGAAATTTAAGATTATGTTGGTTAAATTTAATTTATAAATTTATTTCTTTCAAAATTAAAATTTCACAATTTGTTTACTATAAAATGAATTTTTAGGGTTCCGGAAATGATATTGGAGTATTTGATCGTGCTTCTGAATCAATCATGCCACTTCTTTTCAATGTTCAAGATATCTACCTCAAAAGTGGTGCTGATTTTGGTGCTTTTCGACCATTGGTCAGCGAATCAGAAGGTGGCTATCGGATGACTCTTGCTGATGAGATTAAATGCAAATTAACTGTTCCATATCAGGTTGATAATTCTTTAATCATTTAAAATTATGTTAAACTTTTTAAACGAATTCAATTCTTTGTGATTAAATTTAATAGTATAAAGAAAAGGAAAATTGAAGTACATAAGAGTTCATAGAATGAAAGAACACTGAAAATTCTTCCGCAAACTATCTTCATTTATCTTCTCTCTCTCTCTCTCTCTCTCTTCATCCTTCCTTCCTATTTCTCTTCATTTACTCTCATTACGGAACTTTCTGAAAACTTTTACTAAACAAAAAGATAGGCTAGATAAGTTCACTTCAATATTTACCTTTTTAAATTCAAATTCAAAATTATTGCATTTTACAATTTTCAGACGTCACCATCACTTACAACATAATAGAATATACAACTTCCATAAAATTCTTTCTGGATTTATTTACTGGATCCGGTAACGAAAGTTATTATTTATTTGTACGTAGAGTTGTATTTTTTGATTTTTTAATTTTTGTTGTAAAAATCGATAATAATATTAGTATTAATAAATGATTCAAATATTTTGAACTGGCGAATTTATTTGATTGTATCAACAAGGTATGTTATTATGATATAAGCGATTTGATTGTGGGATAAATGCAAAATGAAAATAATTATTCCGATACTTTTGTTTCATCTTTAATATTTCAAATTATCAGTAACAGTAATTGCTGAAATATTTTCGGAAAAGTTCAAAAAGGTATAAAGGTTATGAAGAAAAATTCCTGAACTATTCCTGAGAAAAAATAAAATTCCTGAGAATAGTAAATACAACATAGAAAAAATGATTATTTTTCTATGTTGTATTTACTATTCAAAAATAGTATATATGATTTTTAGCTCTCAATTTTAGCTCTTAAAATTTTGTTGAATTTATATTTTTCATAATAAAGAAAATATAAAATACAATATTTCGAGAGGTCACAATCCGGCAACAGCCACTGACAGTATTGATCAGCAAATTACAATATTTCAAGAGGTCACAATCCAGCATTAGCCATTGATAGTATTCGTGGGTAAATTAACAGTATTTCAAGAGGTCACAATCCAGCATTAGCCATTGATAGTATTCGTGGGTAAATTAACAGTATTTCGAGAGGTCACAATCCGGCAATAACCACTGATGGTATTGGTCAGCAAATTAACAATATTTCGAGAGGTCACAATCCAACAGTAGTCATTGATAGTATTGGTCATTAAATTACGTGCGATTCCTTTTTTTCAGAAATAAAATTTTCATTTATTGTTTGAATCGGCCATTTCTCATTTCACACGAAATATAAAATAAGAATTAAAACGAGAAATGGTCATTGAAATGGTCAATTTTCATTCATCAAAGATATATTAAAATTTCCCTACTTCTACTGGCAAATTATTTTTTGCAACGTTTTTTAGCTTATGCAAAAAAAGAACTAAAATTGACTCATTCCCAAATTACCTGTTCTCATTAAATATTGCAGCAAATCTTTACTCTCATAATTTTTTTAAATCAATAATTTCAATTAACAATGTTTCCTTCGAACTTTTCAAAAAGTACACATTTCTGTTTTGAACTTTTCAGTAACACAATTCTCTTTGAACTTTCTTTTAAATAATATTATCAAAAAGTATGAAAATAGAAAATGTATGATTTAACGAAATCATTGTGTTAGAGTAAAAATATTATGATAAAATTTAACTGCAGTAAAAAATATTTAATTCATATCTGATTTATTTATAATATTTTAGGTCTAATCAATTTGAAATATCGATGCAACAATGATATATCATAGTAAATGATAATTTGATTGAAAAAAAAACAATCTGTAAAAAAAATTATCAATGAAGTGATTAGTGACTATCATTTAGATCAATCTCGAAATAAAATACAATCAATTACTACAACATTAATAATTTCATCTGATAAAACAAAATTGATGAATCTTCTTAACATTCTCCCTAAACAGAAAACAGTGTTAACGAATGATAACGATCGAGTGATATTCTTTCATTTTTTGATATCATAGTAAATGATAATTTGATTGAAAAAAAAACAATCTGTAAAAAAAATTATCAATGAAGTGATTAGTGATTATCATTTAGATCAATCTCGAAATAAAATACAATCAATTACTACAACATTAATAATTTCATCTGATAAAACAAAATTGATGAATCTTCTTAACATTCTCCCTAAACAGAAAACAGTGTTAACGAATGATAACGATCGAGTGATATTCTTTCATTTTTTGATATCATAGTAAATGATAATTTGATNATTAATAATTTCATCTGATAAAACAAAATTGATGAATCTTCTTAACATTCTCCCTAAACAGAAAACAGTGTTAACGAATGATAACGATCGAGTGATATTCTTTCATTTTTTGATATCATAGTAAATGATAATTTGATTGAAAAAAAAACAATCTGTAAAAAAAATTATCAATGAAGTGATTAGTGATTATCATTTAGATCAATCTCGAAATAAAATACAATCAATTACTACAATATTAATAATTTCATCTGATAAAACAAAATTGATGAATCTTCTTAACATTCTCCCTAAACTGAAAAGGGAAAAAGTGTCAACAAACGACAACGACAACGATCGAGCGATATGCTTTTTTTTGCCACATTAATTTCTGGCTGATCGCATAATTTCAACAAATTTACTATAAATATTCAGATGGCTAAAATTTTTTTTAAAGTAAAATTGAGATAGCAATAAATTCTCGACCAAATGTTACATTACTTTTCGTCTTTTCAATTAACCAAAATATTGGCATACATTTTTCATGCGCTATTTCACATATATGATTATGCCAGAGCGGCATTTGTTAAATTTTCCACAATGCTGTAAAAATACAATTGCAATTAGAGGAATATATTCTAATAGAATGGAATGATATGAAATTGCTGAGAGTATAATTATAAGAGTTAACGGAGAATTGTTAACATTTATCAGTTATTTTAATTTTATCTATTTTTTTTCGAAATAATCATTTTTGAAATAAATATTTATTTCATAACTATTAGTGGTAAAATTTAATACACAAAAAAATTATGATAAGAGATATATGGTGATATTGTATAGATTTTGTGATAAATTTGATGATAATTTAATATATTAGTTTTTGATTATCATAATTTTAAATCGATTAAGGAAAATTAATCAATAAATGATAAGAGATATATGGTGATATTGTATAGATATTGTGATGAATTTGATGATAATTTAATATCTTAGTTTTTGATTATCATAATTTTTAATCGATTAGGGAAAATTAGTCAATAAATGATAAGCAAAAAGTGTTTACTAAATTAGTGATATTTTTCGAGTATCAATAAATCGAATAAATGAGTGATAAAAAATTATCATTTAATTATCATTCATTTTTTCTCTCTCTTATATTTATCGTATAGCTACATTTAGTTCTCTCGTACTAAATGCTCTTGAAAATCGCGGGGTAAAAAAGAATGACTAAAACAATTATGAAGAAATCGATTAATGATTTTATCAATCTCTGGTCAAAGGTCATCATTCATTTAAGAAATAAAAATTTCACTTATCACTACGGATTTTATTTACATATCAAATATAATTTAATTTTTCATTTCTATTAAAATTTAAATTTTATCCACAATTTTGGTATTAATGATTTTTTATCAATCGTCCGGTCAAAGGTCATCATCCATTTCAGAAATAAAAATTTCACCTATCATTACGGATTTTATTTGCATATCAAGCAATTTAATTTTTCATTTCAAATATAATTTAATTTTTCATTCCTATTAAAATTTAAATCTTATCCTCAATTATCTCATTTCTTTTCATCTCTTCGATAAAAAAATGGTAGCATATCAAAATTATTATTTCATTAATTAAAATTAATTATTAAAAATTTTTAAACAATTAATTTTGCCATTCGTTAAACTAAAATTCGACAAAAATTTTCAATCGAATTTAAGTTTATTTTTCACTTCAAAAAAAAATAGTAATAATTACATTTGCATTACAATTAGTTGACAGATGATCATTAACAACGAATTTTGAAGTATTTTGCAAAAAAATTTTTTCATTAAACTTCATTGATAAAGAGAGAGAGAGAGAGAGAGAGAGAGAGATCTGTCACAGTATGTTTTTCATATATTTTTTCGTCTTATTTGATTTATTCTAATATTCTACGATTCGATGAAAAATTTTTATTACACTGATGAAGTTTCAATTATATTTCCAGACAACAAATAACATACATATAGTTCCGTCTAACAATTTTCCCTTTTCATCATCTTTTTATTGTTCTCTTGTCAAGTTAACTAATAATATATGAATGCATTCCTTTCATTCAATGACAGCCAGCGTCTCTTTCTTCCAAACAACATATTATTACAACTATCTAACCTGAAATAATCCAACATCTCATTGTTTATATTTCATCTCATTCATCATATCTTTTATTAAATTAAAATTTTCAATTAATTGTTAATTAATTAAACTTTTTTTTCATAATTTGATACTCTATTCATTGAATCATTTATCATTAAACATACTCAAAAAATATTAAGTCATAATAATGATGTTGAGAATAGAAATTTGCGTTACGATACCGTGGAAATTGAAAGCGCTGAGAGATAGCGATAGCGCTTCTGTATTGTTGATCGTGAAAATGGGGATATGTGGGTGTTGTATGATGAGGGGTTCGTCTGGGTGTGATGATTTAGATGGCAGAAAAGTTTTAATGTCAAGCTAGACGATTAAAATGAATTGACTTTAGCGTCATCCTCTTCAAAGTGTTCCATTACTACCAATCGATTTTTCCTTTTTATGTTTGTTTTAAATTTTCTAACTTAATTAAACTATACATTCAAATGCAATAGGCATATAACATCTTACTGAATTTATTCACAAGAATCAATATGCTTATTTTGGGAGAGCCGGTAATGTGAGAAAAGAGTACTACAGATATATTTGAGAATGGCGATTAAGTGAGATTTAATAATATTTAACATTTGGGTAAAATTTCCAAAAATTCTAATGCATTTCTCGTTGAAGTTATTGCAATGAAAGGATGGTTATGAGAATACACGATGATCTTTTACTGATATGAATTCTTCAACAAAATGACAAACTCTGTGATAGTCAATTCCTGCACAGTGTATAGGAGTAGAGAGCGAACTTTTGTTTGATCTGTCTTGCTCAAAGGTCAAATTTTTTTTATCACCGCATCGTACTGTTTATTTCCTGCATATTATCATAGGTATATATTACTACGTTGTCATATGCAGAATTTTTTTCCTTCTCCGTTATGGCTAATTTTTGTTTGCTAAGAATGAAGCAAGATAGCTTGCATACTTGTCATTAAAATGCACTTCCAAATAAATGTCGCGGAAAAGGGAGTAAATGATTTTTTGTTTGTATCAAAACCAGTCAACGAATGTTAATAAAATTGTAAATGTGATGCTTTGTTTATTTATTTCTTTACCTTTTTCAATGATTGCAGCAGTTTCCGTTGTCTTTTATGTATACAATTTGATCCATTTTTGTTTCTCTCTCTCTCTCTTTCCAGATGCTACGAAGAAAGTTCATTTATTAATGATTAGCAGTGAAAGTTATGTGCTATGTTCAAAAAGACTTTGGAAGGTGCTACAATTGACTGCAGTAAATGTATAGGTGTCATTAAATTAAATCAGATCATATTTCAAACATAACTGCCAATTCACAGTTTTAAATATCCTTAAAGATAAACTTCAACCTTTTTAAATGTTGATTTATATTTACAGCTCATTGAGTTAAGGAGGTCGGAATCTTTTCTTAGGGCAGTTTACCAACTCTTAAATAGTGTTGATGGTACGTGCAGTAAAAATTAATTAATCACTGGTTTGAATTGATAACGTCCTTAATGTTTATGTCAGCGATCTCTCGATAGTGCAGTAGTTATGGTCCTAATTTAAGCTGCTTACTTGCTTGGTTTTGAAACGCTCTAACATTTTAGTTCTATGCTTATTAGCATCGAAACAAAGGAAAGCGTAAAATAAGGTACAAGGCAGTTGCAATCCAATTCGAATCAAATGATTTCGTTTAATACGAAATGATAGAGACAAGAAAAAACGTTTTAGCTGACTTTTGACATAACATAGATAATTCAGCAGGCCATGGTATTGCAAGCCGATGCAATTCAAATGTGGTTATTGCTGTATCATTATTCTAAATGCATAGAATAACATTTGCTCCTGATCATTGATTTTTTCTGGCTGTCTGAAAAAATATTCAGCTAAACAAAATATGTTATGCTTAATAAAATACGTCATATATCATATTTCTATGTTTATGTTTGCTTGCGATTTATCAACCTAATTATGCTTTCAGGAAACTGATAACAGTCGAGGACGGTTTCAACAATAATTGGCAAAAAAGAATTGTAGAACCTGATTTGAAGAAATTATCTGAACAACGAAGAAGGGACCTCTTTGTATCTTGGAAACCACGGGGTCCTCAGGGGAAGTGTTCGGGATTGATGGGTGGACATCGACGCGACCAAAGTGATTCTCACGTACCTCTTCGGCAATCTATCGAATTTCAACAATGTATTTCAAGTAATAGTCAAGATCAGATTCGGTTTCCTACAGAAATATCGTTAAACATCGCCGAGCCAGTGCCTAATGGAACAATCAATTCTATAACCTCAATTGATTTGCCGGTTTATCACAATGATTCCACTGTTCATCGACAACCAACAGTTAGTGATTTCTGAATTGTTTATTTATTCATTTAAATGAAATCTAAAAAATTTATGCAAAATAATTGAATAAATCTTTGCTGTTGAAGCGATTATAAACTTAAACCGTGTTGATTAATCATGTTAACAAAAGTAAATCGAAAGTAGTAAAGATTATTCGTTGTTTTTCGCAGAAAAAAGCGGCACTATTTTTTTTGTTTTTCTTCATGTTTCAAGTTAGTTAAGTTAGAAAATAATACATATTGCCCAAGGGAACAATTTAATTATTCAGAAATGGACAAATTATTAAGAAATAATTACATTATTGTTCTTTGATGTCTTCTCGGTTATTTCCTAAAAATCTAATTCCGATAATTTATTTTGGTAACGCGTGATTTTATCCTCTTCAAGATGTGTTATTTCTGCATATAATGGCATGTGGAGTTATTTTCTGTTTGGATGTAAATTTTGCAGAATGTTTAGCAAACTATCTTTGAGGGACGAGAAAATAATTTACAGGATCATTATTAATTCATAGTTTCTAGGGGATTTTTATTCTCTTAAGATTACAAAATGTTAAATAAATATGGCATGAAACCATTAAACTATGGCTGAAATTCATAAAACTAGCTTACAATTAGAATTTCAAAGAATAGCATTTTCAAATTGAAATGTAAATTTTGTACCAGCCAAAACTTGAAAGAATTCACAGAAGACGTACTGTAAATTGTGTATGTGCATATACGAAAAGTGAGCAAACATCATTTCCATCATCGCTGGGGCTCCGTGTGGTGCACATCGTCTTTGTTGTTATTTTTTGTTTATGAGATGTTCCATTCTTGACGCTGCTTCGATTTTCTTCCAATTTCGACTTTTGAATTTTCTCCAAATGCTTACTTTATCACAATAGTGAACGAATTTTTCCAAGTTTTTAAACGTAGGCTTGTTTGGTAGGCTTTTTTAAATTCTGAATGCATTACACACAGGTTATATAATATGTTATATATAAGGATATATTATTTATTTATTGATTCGTGTTTTTTATGAATTACCGTATGCAAATAATTTTGTTTTCATGTGAATTTTATAGTAAATTCAACCAGTAGTTGACAAATAGTATTTTCTGTAGCTGGAATAAAAAAGGATTTTCGAAGGAATAAAAGTGGGATCTAAGCCAATTAGTTCACATCTCTGTGGAACTCTTATTTTAAATGATAAATATTCACAGTAGAATTTTTAAGGATACTTTTATTGTTTTTTTGAGTTTCATTTCGCGAAATTATAATTCCCGAAATTTCCTTACTTGCGCACTCTGCTATCTTTATGCGACATATAGAATATGTATCAAAACAAAATTAGTCTTTATGTTTATAAAAATAACTCGTTTCATGTCTTCTGTGTAAGTTAAATTAGAAGTCAATAAGATCTTTGGGGGTAGGACGCTTAAGAGACTCAATAAATAGACATTAGACAGCGCATTTCAAAGTTTTTTTTTTCCCGTCGGAAAATGGCTGCGAACAGAACATGTTTCCAGCATCAGCATTATCATCGTTATCACCGATACCGGAACTTCTTTATTCCAAACAGTGATTTAGATTAGATTGAGCTTCTTTTTTTTCTTCAATTACAAGTGGTTGTTTTAGAGACATTGTTCGATTTCTAGAGATTGCATTATTGTCTTATAGGAAATCTACTCTTTCGTATGCGGCAGTATCATTGTATCTTTCATATTAACAGCTCCGATGTCGCCCTACTCAGTCTAGCATATTCGAGTGCATCTTATTCGATTTATGTCAAAAAAATTTTAAATCAAGTTTTAATTTATTAAATCGTTACTTTAAATAGCGAAATCAAGTTATCGTTGTCGTAATTCTGGTGTTCTTGATTTTTTTCACAGATTATTCAAAAAAGAACTTATCGCGGGTGATGTGACACCATGACGATTACTGCTATGCATAAGCAACAGCATTCGGCACAAATCCCCTTGGCAAGTTCTTGATTGTTTATAAGTTTCTTCTATTTTAGGATCCATTCCGTGGATTATCCAAGTATTTTCTTTTGTAGAATTTATTCTTTCCCTTTCAAAAAGTGTGATATGTTGCATCAAGTTGAGCTTTCGGTTGGTTAGCTTGCGTATTTCACTACCTGTTAATCATATTCGAAAATAAATAAGAATATACGTGTTTTAAGGGATAGAGAAGGAATGGAATTTGTTTTTTGTTGTTATCTGATTTTTTAAAAGAATACATTCTTGTATTTTTTCGAAGATCTTCATTTTATTCATGTTAGAAAACTTAAATTTTACTTTAAATGTTAAATCTCTCAGCTTATTAACATTACCACAGTAACTTTGTCTCCTACGGCACTATTGTGCTTCTCTAACTGTGATACATCTTACTTGCCTATCAATGTTCATTACGCAGTGATACTGTTCATTCCTTTATCTCTTTTCCTTCGCAAATGTTTCATATTCTATTTCCTGATCTTTGAATTGAAACTAGAACTATTTTGATCAGTTAAGTAGTCAATAATAATTGATATTTTTTCTTTTATCATAAATCATTGCTAAATGAATTATCCATCAATGGTATTTTTAACATTAAAATTTATTATAGTGTTATTATCTTCACCGCATTCTGTTTTATCATTTTTTAGTTTATTTCTTTTCTCAGTCATCGATTAATACAATTTGTATGTTCTGTTTTTTTCTGTGGAGTTTTCTGTAGTTATTTCATATATTTTTTTTCTAAAAATTTAAATTATGTCATATATAGTAGCAAAATCAATTTTTGTGAAGTATCGTTGAATTTTTTATTATTTTTATATGTATGTTATTCTAGTTATTTAGCATATAAAAGTAATTTCGTTCAATTTCAATTTCTTTTTTGTAATTTTCTTAGATAAAAATCTGGTTGTAACTTATTTTAATGTCTAAGATACTAACATTACTGTCCTTTTTTGTTTTGGTCGTACACAATCACTATGGAAAATCTTTCCACTGTAAAATGTTAGATTTCACAGAAAATAAACTGTCGAAGTCTTTATCAAGACGAGTAGAAAAGCGTTTTGTATGAATGTGCAAATTATGTGGAAATTTTCCAACCAACTTTTAATATCTCATTCTTATCACACTTCACGATAAGTAGAACTTTCTTCAGCACATGTATGAAATTTTGCAGTGAGCCACAATATATTTTAAAGATATCAAGAATGATGCTGCTCAGTAAGTCTTATATTTAACAAGTCGTTCTAAACTTTAGTTTAAAAGTATTTTTGAGGTTCATAACTAGGATTTCTTTTCAGACATGGCAAAAGGAAGCGTTGAAAACGTGTGCTGCATTTTTTTGTTTGTTAATATCGGCATTCCTTAATTTTTTCCTACTCACTGTGATTCACGATATAGTGCCGAGAGAACCCCTGCCAGACCTCGTTTTTATGCTAATACCACAGCAGAGGTGGGCCTGGGTTGTCGGAGATATATTTTCCACTTTAAAGTTAGTTTTCTCTTTAATACATCCTATTAATGAAACACTGGGATCACACATTGGAGAAAAGTGATGGTTCAGTATATTTGACAAGCTTTCGAAGTTCAAGCAGAACAAACTTTTGCCAATTGACTGCTATTGTTGCCTCGTCACTCGCTAGCCCAACTGTTTTTGCTGCTATTCTTAGTTAGTGTTAATTCTAAAATTACCTTTATTTACTGCTGTTCATGTTTTCAGTGCTGTACTTGGCTTCACATGTGTTCTGCTGCACAAGAAACGATTAATAGTATTTCGGCGTGTGCTTTTACTTGGGGGAATTATGTATGGTTTACGGGCAGTAATTCTTGGACTGACGTTTTTACCGCCATCATTTCAAAACCGTGATGAAATATGTTTACCGCAAGTTAACAGAACTGCCATGTATGCTACAGAAATAACAACAAGGTAGCGGTTTATTATTTGCTTTAATTTGATACCATTGCTGTGCAAAATATCGTCGTAATTTCAATTTTGAATATAGTTATATCGTGATTTTTGGCTTAGCAGCACATCCTACTTATATTTAACAAGAATGTATTTAATTCAGTATTTTTGTTCTTCTTTATGACTTTCAGTTTTAATTTTAAGGATTTCACTAACACATAATCTAAATTATGTTTCTATGCGGTGACATGTTGGTAATATCGGGAGTGTTACCATGGGGAAAAAATGTCCTCCATCTCAAATGGCCGAAAGCAATTAGTGTTATTACTTCATTACAATCTTAGAAGTGCCATAGGTTATTTGTTTTTCCATTTTCTAATAAATTTCAGATTTGTAACATATGTTGTAACATTGGGTCTAACTTCGGGTCAGGACAAGATTCTTTGTGGCGATCTCATGTTCAGCGGTCACACCGTTGTGTTAACGATTATGTACTTTACCTTACTCCAGTATACGCCAAGGAGATTAGTCTATTTACGGTCAGTGTTTTGAATTGTTAGTGGGAAGCAGCAGTATGTCAACATATCTTGAAATATATTGCGAAGTTGAAAGTTTATGACAGAAATCTTATATAGATACCTCGCAGCACCATTAACATACATTGGAATAGCAGCACTGGTTATTTCGGGCGGTCACTATACAATGGATGTGCTCGTAGCTTACTGGCTAACCAGTCATGTCTTTTACGCATACCATCAAGTTTTTGAAATGCCAAGGTTTGTTCAAGATTTTTTTCCAAAAATTTAAATGACTTTTTTTGTTTTAATTTTTCAGATAGGTTAGTATTAGTTGAAGGTTGAGGGAAATACATTTACTGGAAATGATTAGTGAGCCAACTTTATGATTTTTCCTGAATTTGCGGCATCATAATTGCCTCATTTATTATTTGTTGGCTTTAAGTTTTTCTTTGGGAGCAGATATCTGAAAGTTGTGGATTTTAACATTATCAAATTTTTCAGGGTAGAAAGGACAAAGGCACCTCTTTCTCATTTATGGTGGTTTTGGTTATGTTATTGGTTTGAAAGTGATGTTCCTGATGGTGCTTTACGAAACGAATGGGATTGGCCATTACCCGGCCCAATCTGTATACATCATTTTGTCCAACGAATAAGCGATAAATTACAGTAGTAGACAGTCATTCCTGAACTTCATGTTGTACGGTTCAGAATTATTTTGTTTTTTGTTTATCTTTTTTGTACACTTCACAATTCCATTTTGAAAACATCCTTTTCTTGAAAAATTGAAAAATTTACCATTTTATTACAACTTCAAGGGACTTGAAAATTAATTTTTCCGTTTCCAAGAATTTCTAGATTAGTGCAATTTTAGTTTTTCATACTTGAAACTCCATAAAAGTACGATTTATACCAACGTACTCTCATCTCGACTTGCTGTTTAACACTTTTGGATAATTTCGATTCATCCAATCATTTCATTATTATTGTTCCCAATTTATATATATATAATTTTGTTGAAAAAATATTGATCTTGATGAAAAAATCTTTATATAATAGAGGCTGCTTCTACAATACCTTTGCCATAGGGGAAGTCGTCCCGCTAGTTACTAGCAGATGCAATTACGGAGTATTTATTCTGTTTCTTTTTTTGATTATGTCAATGTATGGCATCATTTCTGTACACATTTCAATATTACGTGTTCCATTATCTAAAATCTCATTTGGAGCAACAACTACTCGAAATTTCAGGTATAATTCAGAATTTACGTAGCTTTGACGGCAGCGATAAGTGAAATCTGATAGTAATCGTTGAAGGCACCATAAATCGTATGAAATTTTTACATTTTAGAATTTATGTTTTTTTTTTCCACAAACCGTCAAAGTTCCGAAGTTCCGTGTTGCATAAACCAAATCATATTTGTAAAATATTTTTTGTTGATATAGTTGTCTGTATATTTACTAGAAGCTTGTTTTTTAATCTGTTTAATTTATTGTTTAAATTACAAGCTTAATGATAATTTGTCTTCACCGCACTGGAATACTTATCAATTTTGTGTTCCAAAATTTTATTTCTTTCATCTTTTTGTCGATCTATTAATGCCTTATGGGCTTATATTTATCCTTCATATGCTATAATATGTTTCCGCAAATCGCTAAACGCTAAATAAGCGTGATTTAGATGTGCTTTAAACAGCTACCGTATTGCCATACTTTTTATGAACTCAGTTGAATGTTGACTTTTCCAAACTCTAAGAAGTATTAAGCTATTCCAGCTGCGTTTACTTCTGAAGAATGAAATATTGATATTCATAAAATAGTGTTTCTATAGTACATTGTCGTTGTTATTAATTTTTTGCCCATTTAATTTGTAAGTAGTGAATTTATTCAAAAGACTATATGCTTGCCACTTATTCATTCTAATACATTAAAGAATCTCTTGACTATTCTTGAAGTTTATCTCTTACTTTTTTTGCTTACTCTCCCGGAAATACTTCGACTATGCATGTTTTATCCCCTTTTATAATACTCCGCATTTCCCAAAGTGATGACTTCATAAAAGTTGACGTTTAATGTGAACTTTTGCGTGTACTGTTCGAGACTTGGAAAATGTAGATTTTAACATTTGCCAATTAAAGAGTCGAAGATGATTTGAACGAGAATAATACACTTTTGTAGATCAGCACAAGAATGAGTTGCTTAATAATGCTCGATTAGATAAATTGATCTGATGCTAATCGCCCTGGCAATTTTAACAGAACTGAGGTTATTGGGCCGTTACATCTATCGTGACAAAAGTGCTAGGCAAACTTGGTTGTTTCTTTTGAAATGCCAACTTTATCGCTTCCTTACACGCGGATCTCTCACTTAATCCCTTGCCTTCTCCATATTCTGCTAAAAAGTTGAAGTTAATCCGGCGAGACCACGTGACTACATGGACCTGCGTAAACTATGTCAAGGTGTCCATAGTGTGGGATGTAATTTCATTGCGTTCCATCCCGTGATCTCTGCAGCAATAGTAGTTAGTGTTGTCAGCTCGTGCTCTCGTAGATCGGTTAGTTATTTCACAAGAGCTTCAGTGAGGCTGAAGAACCCGTCAATTATTTTTAAATTTCTCCGTGAGACACATTCATGGGAAAGACTATGTTAGTAGTGCCAAAATGCTGAAGATATGATAACTCAGTTGCAATCAAGTTGTTGGTTGGTTCTTTTTTTAGATAAGAAATGCACTTGAAGATATGATTGTTTTGGAATGAGCTTCATTTCATCATGATGTTTGGAGTTGAAGCTTTGAAAGGTTCGCAGAAGTTCTCAGAAGCCTACTTCGATGATATCAGTATAATAAAAGGAGCAATTATCGAAAAAGTAATTACTTCTTTGCAGTTTCGCATGTATTTATTAGTGCACATCATGAAGTTATAGATATATATATACATTGAATTTTTTGGTTCTTGTTAGAATGGTAATTCTCAAATACTTTGTGAAGAGAAGGTCGGTATAGCAAACTTCTCCTGATTTATTGACATAAGCAGCAGTTTTTCTTTATTTCGAGGTCCCGAGTTCCTGCAGTCTAATATGACAGGTGATTTAATGGATAAAGAAAAGAGAGCTCATTTAAAAGTAGACTTTATTATTTTGGGCAATAATGAAGCTTAGTTTGTGCTTTCGCTCCTGTTTGAAGTAGTACAACAATAGTTTATAGAATATCAAGCATATAGCTGACACTCGGTTTACATTTAGAAGTTACAGCGAACTTATTCAGGATAGATCATTGTTAATCCAGCAATTTGGAGATGGTCATTCTATTATTATCTTGCAGGAAACATTTCTGGCCAACTTAGGACCACTCGCAGATCTGTTAGATCAGTATGCCAGTGTATGTAATGAAGTTATATCGCTCTTTGCCAATGTCATTTTACGATTATTCGAAACAGTCAACAATATTGGATCACCGTTGGAAGTCTTTACAAGTTCTTGCTCTTTCTTGCTTATTTTGCTGTATTCTATCTTTCATCTTTTTCTTCATGAAGTCATTTGTCTAATAGCCTGGCCATTACAGACTTTGCTAACTTTGTTAGTCGCTTACCCACTTGTATTAACATTGATTTCTTTAATTTTGATCCTAAGTTGCAGTACGTTTATTATTATTATTAAACAAATTTCTGTTGGTCAAATTTGGAATGCTTCCATACGATTTGTTGCACTGAATTGTCGCCGCCTCATCTATATGATTTTTCAGTATTTTTATCCATTAACTGTCAATGCGTTAAATTTACTGCTTTTGCCGGTGAGATTTTTATGCAGACTGTGCATTAATTTCATATGGATGATTCCAGTTTCCAGATCGAAACGAATAAGGAGACATTCTTCAAGCTGTGCTGACGATGTAAGTCGGATTACTTGCTGTATTTGTTTCATTCATGAGAAATCCATTTTACTGCAGCCTTGTAATCACATTTGTGTGTGTGCTCGTTGTGTTGAAGAATTGTTGGAGGCTTACGAGGAGCCTTTATGTCCGCTTTGTCGCTCCATTATTACATCTTATTTTGATGTCTATATTTAGGCATCCAAAATAATAATGAACAGGATTGCAACTATTCTTGGGAACTATTATCTGAGAAATTAGGAAAATTAGAGATTAAAATGCAGTAAATCATACTGGATTGTCACTTGTGTCTCGAGTATTGGGTGCGCGAACTCATATGTTTGAATAGTGTTGACACATCAGTCGGTGTTTTTCGTGTTAAAAATCGTACAGCTTGTGATACAGAAATGGTCCCTTTCAGTCTCTTGTCCATTTTTTTGTTCTGAATTTGATTCTAAAGTTTCTAAACTGTGAATTTCTAGCATCCATCACCTACCTCAGTTTTTACTTATCGTTAGCGTAAAAATCTGTATTCTTACTACGTGATACAATCAATGTAACATTTGTTGGCGCTATTGTCTGAATGGAAATTTCGGCCGAATAAAGGAATATCTTAGAATCTGTAAGGAATTATAAATGAAATTAATTAGTAAGTATGAATTAGAATTAGAATAAGCAGCATTTGTAAGTATTAAGAATTACGTACCAATTTATATCCATCAGACACGGTTGTCAATGACAGTATACTTTCATCATGCAACGTTTGAGTCAGAATTAAGAAGGTATTTAGTGCTTTTGCTTTTAACTTTATTTTGTAACCTTCATTAAAAACTCAGGACTTATTTTTTGTACAATATAATTTCTTTACTATGTTGTAAAAAATAGTATATATGATAAATGTATTATTTGTAAATATGATCTAATGGAAGATTATCTTTAAAATTCCTTTCAACAATAAACACATTTTTGCTTTTTCTAGAAGACAACCAGAAAATTGTCCAATTTGATTTGTTTCAAATTACACACGCAAACTTTTCCGTGTCTGAATAAAGTGGGGTTGATTCCATGCGCTGGAAATTTTCCAGTGATTTTGACGAATGAGAAGGTATAGTATATTTACTGGTTAATCTGGTTGCTGAATTTGGGATATGTAAATCTGAAATCGTTATTTTTTCTCAGGATGAAAACATAAATAAAATAAATAGAGGGAACCATTGTTAAGATTGATTAAAATTATCTAGGATTGAAAACTTTGAAACAATAAAAATTGCGATGAATTAAGAGAAGAGACTTTGATATTAATGTTGGATGACTTTAGATGACCATTGTATTTAATTTACAAAATAAAAGAAGTGATGATCATCGCCATCCTCCATTGGATTTGTCACTTTATCCATTCGGGAAATTGCGTTGAACTTTTAGTAAGATTACCGATAAATCCGAATGTTGACAGGAATCTTTGACGCCAAATAAGAATTTGATTTTCCGCAAATTTCAACTTAACTTTTCCAAATCTCCACTTTAATTTCACTTTACACATTCTCTAAAACAATTATTCACAATAACCGAATAGACTTTTAAACTAATCGATAATGATATTTATAAGCATAATTACTTTTTGTTACAAAAGTTACGAGATATCTCGATAAAATATTGCTGATAAATTTGTTCACAAAAATTCATGAAAGTTTTAAACATTCTTTTCTGATGTTATCTTTTATAATCATTGAATGATTAGACAAACTTACTTTGCCTTTCGAAGTTTCACTACGAGCTATCTTCATATATATAGCGGAACTTAAATTAATAACAAAACCTACAATTTTGAAAATTATTGAATTAAAATGCAAAATCTGCGAAAATTTCTGATTATGATATTAATTTATAGGAACATATAAATTATTAATTATCATTATTTATTCTTAATTAATCTATGATTTACATCCTACTTTAAGATTATTCAAATATATTTTTCAAAATTCACTAATTTATTCATTCCACGAAGATCAGAGATATAGTCGAAATATGGTTCAAGCATATTTCTGAAACTAAGAAAATACTACGTGCTATCAGCGATCTGTATTCAAATCTTAGTGGAGATATGATGTTATCTCTTATACCAGAAGGAAAACTGTATTTAATAACTGAATAACTGGTTTAATAAAGAGGTATACTACACCAATCACTAAAATAAAACTTCACCCAATATTTGGTACACAGACTCTTTTTTTGTTGAAAATAAGGTGTTGTAATTGGTTGTGATGATAAGGAAAACAATTTTATCAATCACTCATTACCCATTTCAGGAGCTGTAAAAATGATAAGAGCATCATCAATTGTTCGTATAATATAACATAAATGCCATTTGATGATTCGATGTATTTGAAAGCAACTTGTCTTATCACTACTGATTTTCGTTAGCACTTTACCACTTTCCATAAATTTACACTTATCATTTAGCAACAATTCTATTGGTGGTAATTCCATTGGCTGAAAAATTTTTTGATTGGAAATCTTTCAATCGATAAATGCTATGCAGAATAAAATTTATAATTAAGTTATTATATATCTGGAAGTTAATAATACATAATTATTAATACATAATTAACTTCTCATTTAAAAATACATCATTTTTTTTTTCATAGAATCATTGAACTCTTAAATCAGTTCGATAATTATTAAAACGAGCGATTTATTAAATACTGTTAATTTAATGCTAAAAAAACATAAGCAATCATACCTGATCGTAAAACTTGCAAAAAAACAAAAAAGGCGAAAAGACTTAGTTAAAATCTTATTTAAGCAATTTAAAATTAAAACTTGCTGTTTTAAGATCTTCGCTGAATTTGATCATCGTTGAATTTTCACATTCGATCATATTTCTGCCAGATGAATTTTCTTCAAAACAGCTGATGAATGTAAAATTGATTGTGTTATGAATCAGAAGACGTATTATCTTCTTTTTATATTTCTTTAATTTTAATTTTCTATTTGCTATATAAATATAGCATTACATTAAAAGTTGATGTAAAAAAAATTTGCATATTTGCATGAGCTTCTAAATAAATTTCTTCAATCATAATTCATTCATTTTCATTTTTTACTCCAAAAGCAAGCTGCCGGCCGATAAGATGCGGAACGTTGAAATTCAAAGCAAAACGAAAATGCATAATGGTCAAGAGTTCAACGATGCTAAAGAAATTGAGAGGTGAAGAATTTTCAACTTTCTACAATACTCTTTCTTTGTCTCAGTACATTTCTCTTCTCTTCTTACTACTTATTTGCACTTTCAAGGTCTTGTTGTAACATTGATTGCTATTAATTACGTTTTCGTTTCTGCACTCGTAAGAGAGAATAAATTAATTTTGAGAAATGCTTGAAGTTATTAATTAACATTGTTAATTAACAATTTCATCTTAAGGTTATACTATAAATTAAGTGTGCCGGGAAGCCGATCGAAGTTATGCTTCTTATTATATTTATTCATCATTCCACTTTTTATTGTTATCGGTGGTGTTACATTCTCTGTAAGTAATACAATTAATCAGATATAAGCCATTGCAAATATTTAACTAAACAGCTTATCAATAGAAATATTATCAGTGGCAATTTCCAACTCATATTTTATGCTGGCAATTAACCAAATCATATAAACTATTAGTAATTTTTATGGTTTAATTTTGAGTAATGAAATTGGCAGTAAGGAAAAAATGCTTATCAGATGAAGCTTAAAGAGTTAGCTAATATATTTCAATTAAACTGAAAATGTCGAAATTACAGCTCCTGGAATTAGTGGCATCAGAAGAAGCTGAAATAGGAAATGCTCAAATTTGCGTAGCTGAACGAAAAATATTAATGAAAAATCTGAAAGCATCATTCGATGATAATTTTTCAGCAATTCTCAATTCTAATACGCTGAAAAATATTACAAATATGTGGCAATCAATTGAAAATACTGTTATTGAAGTCTGATTAATTTTTTAATTATTAATAATTAATTAATTGTTACGAAAAGCATTCATCGTATGATTTTAAATAATTTCTAACAGAAAATATTTTATATGATATAATTCAATTTGATTAATTATTTGGAACTTTTTCAAAATTATTTAAACTTCTCAAGAAAAATCAAAACTTCTTTCGGTTATTATTTTAGGTTGAAAGTTGCCATCGAAAACGGTTATTCGAATTGTTGCCAATAGAAACATTTGTTTTTAGGAATGCTTTGTTGTATTCATTTGGTGTTTATACAACAATTGGTTATGGAAATTTGGTAATTTATTAATGAATTTAAAAATTGGTAGAAATGAAGAAAAGATAAATTAAAATAATAAGAAATAGCATTGGGCAATTATTGAAACCAACATCGCTTGAATAATATTTCTTTTTGTTTTAGATATATAAGAAAATATGCGCCATATTAGTTTAAAAAGCACAAATTGTATTCCATCAAATTACCTCATCTAATTACCTTCTCTAATTACCTTTTATATTACATTTGCAAAATTATTAAATGACAAATGCAAAATGCATTTAATATTTTTAGTAGTATGCTTCAATGTAAAATATACTTGCTAAGATTGAATATGATAGAAAAGTTATTTGATTAAAAATAAAAATAATTAATGAAATGAATGAGTTTTTTCAAATTAGAAATGAATTGATCAAATCGAAATAATTAAATGAATTTTTAATGGATCGAAATAAATAATTAATGGATCGAAATAATTAATGAATTTTTTAAAATTAGAAATGAAATGATCGAATCCTTTTGGTGTTGCTATTTGAGTGCAACAAATTTAGGTGCAAATAATTTGAATTATTACCATTGCGAAATAATACAACATTTTATAAATGCTAATTATAGTTTTCCATATTCTTTTAAATATCAATTATATATATATTTTTATTGTTTATTAAATTGCTCATTAGTGATTGAAATGATTACTTTCCAATTTCTTCATTCTTTAACTAATTATAACTAATTAATAATAATTAATTAAATTAATTAATATATTAATTGATAATTTATATAAAGCTTTTAAACACATAGATTAAAAGCACACTTTTAGTTCCCACGTACTGTACAAGGTCGTTTATTAACGGTTGTATATGCTGTGATCGGTATTCCATTGAATGTAGCATTTATCTCAGATCTTGGTGAATTGATTGCTCGGATAGTACAACGTGCTTTATATTGTTTTCAACGATATATCCTAAATAAGTAATCGAATTTCAAAATTTAACTTTTAATCTATTTTAATCTAATTTTTTCAAAATTTTTTATTCGTCACTTTTTAAAGAAGAACCGAGGATCATTGTATTGAATACAAAAAATTCTCACTAATGGTATTAATTACATTCTTATTCACTCCAACATTTGCTATTATCGTTATGGTAATTCTTTATTTTATAATTTTTTAATTTTTAAATTGTTGTTCTAATTACTTTCGAAATCATTATTAAAGCATTTCAAATATATTTTGAATGAAGTTAAAGTATTAATCAATCATTTAAAAAAATAAAATGTATTTAATTACTTGCAAACTTTTATTTGTCTCATATTTCAACGCTTAAAAATTAATGATTTTCTTGTGATATGATGAAAGTAATTTTGAAAAAAAAACTTATTTTCAGGAAGCAGAATGTTTACGTGCAATTTTATTTTTAGGAAGCAAAACGTTTACGTGCAAATTTATTTTTAGGAAGCAGAACGTTTACGTGCAAATTTATTTTTAGGAAGCAGAACGTTTACGTGCAAATTTATTATTAGGAAGCAGAATGTTTACGTGCAAATTTATTTTTAGGAAGCAGAACGGTCACGTCAATGGAATTATATCGATTCATTATATTATACATTTACGACATCAACACTTATTGGATTAGGTGATCTTACCCCACAACCGTCATATTTTCAATTTTTCATTCTAATACCACTTTTCCTTATCAGTGAAACTCTTTTTGCGCTAGCATTTGGTTTCATTACTGTAAGTTATTCTTCGTCAATTTCAAGCGAAAAATTTCTTAGCATTTAAACAATGGTTACTATTTGTCATTAACGATGATATGTATAATAGTTAGTGATATTGAATGTATTTTATTTTTTTTTAAATTTTCATTAAAATAATATTCATCAAAATTATTCACTTTCAAATACAGTTTATTTATTATTTTATATTGTAAAATGGTAATTAGTAACTTATTATTTATAATTTCTGTGTAATTTAAAATTTGATAATTTATAAATTTAATTACTATTAATATGTGCTAATTAATTTATTGTTGAAAACAATGTAAGTGACATGATGAGATGGTAATTTTATAATTATTTTACTACGCGTGGGTTAAGGACAAAAATTTGTTAACTTCTTTCTAACAATGAAATATTTAATTTTAATGGAATATTTACTAATTCATATCATATAATTAATTCTTGTTGTTATCCTAAAAATGATAAATGTGCGCAAATGTGAATTTAAGTGAAATTCAGTAGGCGCAAATGTGAATGCAAGTGAAATGTTTTTTTAAGATATAAGGCGGATATTGTTTTGTTGTCATCAATAAACGATGCCATCAATTCTTACTGATTGCCACTTCTTAAACATTTCCTACGTTGACTTCTATCTTAGTATAACAATATAGTAATTAAAGCTTTATTTGTTTGAATATAAAACAATGAAATAATAAATATAAATTGTTTTGAGTGTTTCTTTCATATATCAAACAAAATTGAACTGAAAAAATTTTTTAGCAATAATTAAAATTTATAAACAATAACTTAGCTATTACTAAAACTTTCATTGTTTTTATTTTGTAGCATTTGTATCGATATGAATCAGTGATTATATATAAATTAATTAAGCATAAAATTTCGAGATTTCTATTGCATCGTCGCTTACAGCGTATAAAATGTACACTTCAAGAAGAATACTCGCATAATTCGCAAGAACTCGCAAAACTAAGTATTTGTTTTTAACACTTTATCAAAGGCTGTCAACAATTTAAGCAATTTAAATTTAAGCTTAATTCAAATGAAGTGCTTCTTTAGTTCAACTAAATTTAATTTAAATAAAATTTATATAAAAAATTAAGAAAGCAAACAATATTTCTTCGTTATCTTGCTGTGTTGCAGCATTTTCTCCTGGGATTGTTTAGTACATCTTTATTTACTTTTTGTTTTCTTTTTAAAGGTGAAAGATTAAGCTGGAATGGATTATTAATTAAAATGGAATGGATTATTATAGAATAAAATGGAATGGATTATTATAGATTAAAATGGAATGGATTATTATAGATTAAAATGGAATGGATTATTAGGTAAGATTGAATGCTTAATGGATTATTTCTTTTAGGTGCAGAAGTTGATGTAACAAAAGATTCTGGATCTGCTGAAGCTGATATTGATGCTGAAATCGCTGAATTATCAGCTCGTGAGATGCTTATGGATAAAAAAATCGATAGAGTTAAGCTGAATTTATTTCGCATCATTGAAATTCAACAAATATTGAAAAGGTCGTTGTAAGAATTTCATTACTTAAATTCAGTTATATTATTTAATTCAGGAAATGCAAATGCTGGAAGCAATGCCAGGCCAAATTGATTTGGGAATGTTAAATGCACAAATAAAAAGTATAAAAGTTAAATTATTATTTTTTGCAAATTATTATTTATTCATTATAATATATATCACTGTTAATTATCATTAAGTTATTATTTGATTATATTATTATGTCATTATTTCGGAATTATATTAATATTCCGGAATTATATTACCATTCCAAATTATATTATTCCGGAATTCTTAGAATTTATTAAATGTCCGTATTTTTCAGATTTCAATAATGTTGCAAAAAATTATTTGAATTATTACCCATCTAAAATGTAGTGAATTCCAATGCAGAATTTTAACACAGATATAAAATTGAGTTCAAAATTTAACATTTTCAATCTTTCAATCATAGATGATGGTGAAGGTAAAGAAAGATTGATAAGTACGATGAAAAAATGGTTGGGCAGTAAAGAAGACGAAGAGGTGGAATAATTTCAAATATATGAATTCAAAGAAAATTCCTTAAAAAATAATAATTGGGCGCAAATTACCAGGCGATAAT